CTCTCTCTCTCTCGCTCTCTCTCTTTCTCTCTCTCTTTCTCTCTCTCTTTCTCTCTCTCATTCTTTCTTTTCGTCCGATCGGTTTCACTGTTCGCGTTAGTACATATTTTTCGGTCCGTTCCGGCCCGAGTCCGCGCGAGCGCGCGAGAGACCTGCGGGCCTTGGCTTGGCTGAGAGCGCAGCGCGCGAAGTCGAAGGAAACGCGAGCGATTTATCGAGAAGAGGGTCCTTTTTCAACCCTTCTTGTGGATCGTCTCGAAAGCACCGTGTCGCCCGCTGTGGATCGGCTTCGCGCCGCTCTTCGGCGTCGAAATCGCCGCATCTGCTCGCTCATTCTTGCCTCGGATCCTCGTAAGCGCGCGGCGGCGGTCTGAGAGACAAAAGTTCAGCTAAGAACGAGACGGGTAAACGAGTAACGATCAGTTGCACGGAACGGAGCCGGTCATCCGGTCGCTTCGCGACGACTGGCAAGCTTGTCGATCCCCTTTCGTAGTAACCGACGGTATACTGTAATGTAACCGATTTTATGAAAGTGTTTGGAAATGTTCATATTGCTTCTTAAAATATCTAAACCCAAATTTTTGTAAAATAGGAAACCATCGCAAAGATGTGTGATTAATCTGAAAAAACAACCTTGAAATTTACAACTTGGGGGTAGTACAGTTTCCGTTGCAACTGAAACTGAAATAACCGATTTTTTTAGAATCGTCGACTATGTTAATTTTCTTTACTCGTATCATTGGGACCATGGTTTTGCGTAAGGGGGTGGTTCTATTTTATTTCAAGGTGTTTGTTGAATTCCTAATGATTGCATGTAATTATTCTGTAATGTATTCGAAAGTGAATAACGATGAAAGAACTAATTATTTTCGATATAGTTCAGAATTAGAAGAATCTTTTGTTGCCTAATGGTTGGCTTATCATTCAGTAATCTGATGATAGAAGTTACATTAAGAAACCAGGGGCGACAAACAAAGCATTAACAGACTCAAATCTTTTGAGTAATTTTAACCGATTAATAAAGAAGTTAAAAAGTGAAGAATCAGAAAACAATCATTTTCATCGTACAAATAGAAAATTGAAAGAAATAAAAATTAATCTATCGATCGAAAATTCATGCCGAAACACGCGTATTTACTTCCGATTCGTTAAAAATTATCGATTCATCGAAACAAAAATTTACAAAACAAACCAATCTTCGTCGGGATCAACGAGAGAGGCCGGTCCACCGCAAAGCGATCCAAAAGAGCCGTCTCCGCGTGATTTACACCCAAAACATGTGTCTTTAGTTTCGCATTGAGCTTCGAACGTGCCCGAGCCCGTGTCGTTTCACGGTTCCTCCCGCGTTCTTCGACTTCCGGCCGGAGCTACACCGACGGGAAACAGAAGAGAGAAGAGAGACGCTCGCGTTTTCTTTCCTTTTTTTTTGTACAACCTAACCGGCCGCGGGAGGACCGCGTGTCGCAAACGACGCTGGGCTCGGGCGATAGTTTAGATACATCGTAACGTGTTCACGATTAGACATTTACGTAAATTGTTTATTGCGGATGTCGAAACCCTGCCACTTAGAAAAAGTATGTTACACGGTCCATCATTGCCATTTGTCGGAAACACATCACCGGCACGGGATAGTGTGCTCTGGTTCCGCATCGCTTCAACGATTCTCCCGTCTGCCCTCGAGGGACACCGATCCTCCTCTGTTTCTTTCCCCGACCACGCACCCAGCGTTGACGTTTCGCTGGAAAAATAGCGATCCGCGGCACCTCCGTTACGAAATTATCGAACGAACGAGAATAATCATCGTTGGGTTCGTGATCGGCCGTCAGGAAATCGATGAAACGATCATCGATCGGACGCGCTGATTCTATCGATGCTCCGGAAGTCCTATTCGCACGCGCCACCTTGCGAACGGTTAACAATTGCGTCGTTCGTTCTTTTTCATCGTTTGTTCTTTTACATTGATCACTGAGAAAGGAGAATATTGCGGCTTGATATGCAACGGCACGCGAAAGTAAGTAAATGTTCGTCGGGGGACGATGTTCGAGTAACGCGCGACAAGTCCTGCTTACAAAATGGCGGACCACGCGGGGAAGAAAACGAATCGCCCGGACAAGAAACGGAGACGACACGGCAGCGTTAACAAGGAAGATTCGAATGATAATTTTTCTTGTTCGATGGTTTCACCGTGGCGCTGGCTATTTTTTATTCCGTGGGGCGCTAGACTCGATTAACGATCACGGGAACAAGGAACGCTTAATGAGTTTACGGAGCCGGCGAGTGGACCCTCTTCACGGCGTAGCGCGAGGTGGTGGCGACGGCTCGAAGGGATCGGTAATTTTGAAAGAAAAATAATTTTCTAAGGGCCAGGACCCGGCGCGAGCCGCCGCTTCAATCGGCGGAATTACCCGACCCGGTCCACGCAATTTTCTTGCTTCATACGTGACAAGTTTTTCGGACCTCGGGCTCATGGACCCACCGAGCTCTGTTGATCTCACCACTTCGATGCTATTTCGCGCAAGGAATACAAGACGGATAGTTTTTAACCACTTTTTTCATGCTTTCTTTTTTTTTAAAGACAGTTTAACTGTGTGCCTTGTGATTTCTTCTGCGATTAAGTTGACCAGAGGTATTTTGTTGTTATTTTGCAGTTTAAAGTGTACCCGATCCTCTGCTCCAAAATTTGAATCAATTTCATCCAAATCGATTGTATTTTAATCTGTTATTTTGTTGATTCATTTATCAGATTTGAACGTACGAAGATTGTACTTCCGCACGATGCAAGTGTGGCATTGTAAAGTTGATTGAGATATGGTTTGTTATATTGCTTCAATTTGTTTCCAAATTATCAAATTTAAAGAAGCCTTAAGTGGTCAGAAATTTTCCGTTTGCTATTTAGACTGCAGTATTAGTGCAGAGGGCATACTGCTTTTTGCGATTCAAGAAGTTTGTTATCACTTAAAAACAAGCCAATCTACTTTCCGCAATCTCTATTTAAAATATTGAAAATGAAATGACAAATTATCGTTGCCGATAATGACTTATTCCGGTCCAAAAAATGATATTCCATACACACTGATCTAACATTAATTCGGCTGACACTCGGCGCGATCTGCAGCATTCAAACTCATCCAAACAGACAACAAACTGAAATTATATAGACTCGCCATAACAAATTCAAGATATCAGCCGAACAAACCAACTCAACGACCGATCCCCAGCACCGTTAACAGGATGCCCAAACGCGTCAATTGGATCACGACAATTTAACACGCCCATTTATCGCGTAAAGCGCACCGAACGTCGACGAACACGAGCGAAATCAGGGGCGAAGCCTCGGTATGAAACTGGCGTCGACGATCGCGGCCGCTACGGCAACCAGAACGCGGTCCATGCACAGAGACACTTGAAAATTGTCTTCGATTCTCCGTGATTGAGCAAAGATTATCGATTAAGGGGGTTAGGACCAGTGAAGGACGCGCGGCAACGCGCGCGCGCTGCGGTGCTCTAAAAGTCCGCGTCGATCAATCGGGCGACCCAACGGAGGTATACGTTAGTTCGAAGTTATTCGTCTTGGATCATCCATCGCGGTCGATCGGTAGGCGCGGCAAAAGGATCGACGGCCAACACGCACGCACAAGTAAATGTTTCTCCCCGGTTTCAAGAAGACGTTAAACAACGTTCTTGCAGGGAGTTCACGTCTCCGAACAACGAAACTCGTTCACCGTTATTATCCCAGTGCTCGGTTCCTCGTTCATCAGAATCCTCTAAACCTAGGGCTGGGAGCTAGAGCGTTCGCCGGTAGCGGTCGAACGTCGAGTCCAGGTGGTAGGGTTCAGTCTAAATCACTTGGCGAGACTGGATCCGTCAGGGGAGTCGTCGCTTTACATCGATAGTCCGCTGGAAAGAGAAAACGCGCCAGGCCGGTCGTTAGAGTCGGCCAGGCTCTCCCTTCGCCCTTGGTGAGGTTTTCGTTCAGCCGTGAGACAGGCCGACCTCGGGCTGGCACGGTAGCTCATTCAGTCGCAGGTGTCCTGTGCCCACGGAGACCAGTCCTGATAGGTGGACGCCTGCAGGTGCGTTTGCTGTACCGCCAGTCCCGGATGCACAAGGCCCATCTGATGATGATGGTGATGGTGGTGGTGATGATGGTGGTACTGCTGATGACCCGGCGGAGGCGGCGAATAGGGATCCCCTCCGACGGCCACGTCCACCACGTCGACCTGAGACGGTACGACGGCGGACGTCGGCTGCGGAGAGGCTTGCACCTTCTTCGGGCGACCGACCGGGTTGCCGCCTCATTCGCGACTCCTTCGAGGCCGACCGACCTTACCTTTTCTTACGGGGGCACCGCCGTTCCCGGCCGCCGCCGCGGCGGCCGCGGCTGCCACGCTCGACGACTTCACGATTTTGTGCCAGTCCGTCTCGCAAACCGGTGACCCTGACAGTAGGTAGTACCTGATTCAGAAAAAGAAAGGTTTCCTTGTTAATGTTTTGTGTCTCTTGATTGTCACTGATAGTCTTTTTACTTTTGTTTTTGTAATTTTCTTGTTGATTTGATTAAATTCAAGAGAAATGTCTGGGCCAGGTCTATAATTTTGCGTAATTCCTGGATGTTTATTTACTAGTTGAAGAATTTTCATTTGTTGGATTACTATTGTTTCTATATTTGAAGAAATAAATGGTACCTCTCGATAGAGTGCCATTTATGTATATAATTACTATTTGATAATTGTAAAGGGTATCAAAGAAATGTTTTCACCGGAAAATACATAGAAAAGATCGAAAACCGTTTTAGTAAGATCGTGATTATTTTTCAAGATAATTCTTATGTCGATACAATTGAAAAACCTGTAAAGTCGATTATTTTACGATAAACCGAGAATTCGGGAATCGACAGGAATACGGTTCGCGAATAAAAAGGGCAAGATGAAACAAAGTCCCATAATCAACCGGTAACGCGATTCTCATCGATGCTACATGGTATACGGAATCGACGCACATAAACAAGTTTGCTTCATTACAGGTCTGGAATAATTGTTTCCCTCCTCCTTTATTACAAAATCCCCAATTGCAGCCCCCGCACCAATTAACCATCGGCGACACGCCTCTTTTCCATCCCTTTAATTGCCGCATTTCCTCTCGCATCAACGGTTCCCTTTGAACCCTATCGATTCAACCGATTTCCCTAGTATCGATTCCCGCTTTAACAAGACCAAACCATTTTTCTTTTTCTTTCGGTGTGGAATCAAGACATTCGAAAAAATTGTTCGACCTTACATATTTTTATGTCCTCATATATTCTAAATCTCAGAATTAAAAAATTGGTACAGATAATAGATAACGAATAATTTTAAGTAAAATGGAATAACAAAGTAGTTCACATTTTAGTATTTTTACTAGATTCATGATTCAGTATTTGAGACATTCGGTATTAACTATCATTCATTCCTGAGTTTTCCAATTTAATTTGCATCTTGATATCAAATTAAAACAATAATATACGAATGAATGTAATGGAAACATAAATTGTTGCGGTTGCAAATTCTTTTACGAAAAACAGTTTATTGCAATATCTGAATTTTGAAATTTATGTGGTTATATCAGTGTATTAACCAGTGCCGTCACTTTACTTATGACTCCATTAGATCATTTTCATCAATTGCAAACAATCAATGGTTAATACGCGGAATGCGGTAGTTTATTAGGCCGATCGTGGTCTTACCTATCGCCGGAAACGAGTTGACTGCCGCATTTGCTGCAGGTAAAGCATTTCTGGTGAAACACCGATCCACCCGCCCTCATCACCAGCTCGCTAGCAGGTATCGCGTTGCTGCAACCCGCACAGGCACCACTGCTTCCGAACATCCTGTAACAATCATTAATATAACCGGTTAATTAACTTGCACACACTCCTTCTTCACTTTTTCGTTCTTAAATAGTTTTGATCAAAAAATATTCGCACATGAAATAACCATTTAATGAAATCTGTATAAAACATATATTATAGCCGTTAGGAAAAATAGTAGACAAAAATTGAAAAATTATATCAATATAAAAAAATTGTACATATATACAAGCAAATATAAGGGAGAATATTTTAGACTCATAAATGATAATCACAAATTTTAGATATCCCCCGGAGAGGCATGAACTCCAATCAAACTGAAACTTTGATTGCGGTTGATCGAAGTGATTAGTTTTGCAAATTCGATGAAAGATTTGAAACTGGAATTGATATTCCTTGGGGGTACAAAAAGCGGGAGCGAGGCGGTGAAGAGCGAGAAAGAAACAAAGAAACTTTTTTAAATCGTACGACCAATCGAAATATTAATAATCGCCGCGATATTAATTCGCATACGCGGAAATTAATTAATCCGAACTGTATCGATGGTTCATTGAGTTGTACGGGCAGCTGGATATTCTAATGAGTGTAGATTTATGTCAGGCGCGTATTATACATTCAATAATGTTGACTGAAAGCTTATATCAAGCAAAAACATAAATGGACGTGTATGCTAAACAGATATTAAATATATACTATCTGTATTATCGGGACACCGACAAAGCGCAGCTCCCCTCCAACCCCCGAAATTGATGTGTTTATTAACCTGACACGAAGCGGTAGAACGGGACCCAGACTTGGCACGACTTATTAAAACGGGAGCATCGTTGTTTTTACAAATATTCCGCTAACGGAAAGTTTCGTACTAAATCAAATAATCGCACAGAATACTTAACGATACCGACGAATCGAATATCTGTTCATCGATAAATTTAATACTTCGTAGGAACAACATTTAACAATATCTCACGTAGAAACCTTATATAAATAACACAATTCGAAAGCGCGGTGAGCAAGACAGAAATAACACCAGAATCTCCAAAAAAGTCGAACAATATGAAACTCAATCCGAGCACTACATAGCATAACGAACAAGGCAACTCCCCCGTTAACAGTTTAATCAATCGTCGCGACATTCACAGATTCATCTCCGGGGACAACACGATTAATTGAAAAGGCGACGCGCGCATTGGCAGGGTTCGAATGGGGTTCGTGAA